CCTTCAGATTGATTGATTCAAATCAATAAACGCTTTTGGAACTCTTTCGCGAATGTTTTGGTCCTAGAGGTTATTTACCGTTTAATTAAAAATTATCCAATCAAATTCAAATATAAAACGTATTAAAATAACATAACAAAATATTTCAAAAGATTGTTTCTTCAAAATATCAATTGAACTTATATCCAACTAGCCCTTCACGGCTAGGAGGGTGTCCACAATTGATTTCCTACTCCCTCTAATACCTTCTTTTGTTGTTGAAAGAAGTAATTGTAATATACCTACATATAAAAGGACACATCCCCTTAAACGTATTCTTAATGAAGCAGAAAGGAATGTTTTGTTCAAAAGAACGTAATAGATTTAACTCAGACATCAACTGTCCGATTACCCAATCGTAAGTAAAACCCCTTTTTAGCATGAAAATTGAGTATAAATAAAGGAAATTTGTCATAGAACAAAACCAGAACACGAAAACTTTTCTTGAAACTCCAACAGAAGAAAGGTCCCGTGAAATTATAAGGACATAGAAAGTACCTATTTAGTAAGCCTTCAAAGGACTAAAATACCTATACTACATCCTGCAAACTCAAGATCAACTCTACATTTCCAAAACAATGTACAAGGCTCGTTATGTAATACTGAGACCTTGTTCTTGATCAATTTTGGTCATACATTTGCTGTTTCTTTACAAAATCTTTTCCAAGATGCTTAGATGCAGACTTTTGTTCCTTAGGACACAATACATCCTGATGATGTATAAGAAATGAAGTTCTTAGATTGATAGTTCTTAAGATTGGTATCAGTTTGAGACACTTTTTCTACAATCAAGGTCGACTTTAGAAGGATATGGGAAAGGATATTTCTTTTCATTTCACTTTCAAAAATCATGGAAAGAAATATGCTAAATTTAATCTCGCAGTAATAAATATTTACTACAATTCAAACCACAACGAAGCGCTTAATTTTGAAGTGACGTTTTCAAACTCTCTGCAATCTTAAATAATCAAACGTACAAGAAAAGAATGAAAGGAGTTGTCACACATTATGTAAATTACCCAATCGTAAATCACTCGTACCATACAATGAAAATAATTTTGTTTTTGTAAATAAATCAAAATTTAATTATTTCTTTTTCTTTATTTTTGTGAATATTTTTCTGTACTATTAAAGCTGTGTCATGCAAGATAACGCAATTTTATTTCAAGTATACACTTTTAATGTTTTTTGTGTAACATTTGAACAGTAGGAAACAATATCCGTAATTTTCCAATGGATCGACAGAAGTATTGTATCTTAAACTTTAAAGGCTATAATAATAACATATGATGTGAATATAATTCCAGATTTAATCTTTAATAAATATTATGTGTCCATATTTTTGATTAACTTTTTCTTAAACATTATTTCACTTTCGCTTTCCAGCCTTCTGTAGATCTCAATCAGCCTTTAGTTTCCAGTTTTTAAGAGCTATTTAATTATCATTCCAACTGAAGTACCACTTACTTATTGATTGTCAATTTAATCATTAAATAGAAAGATAAAATGCTTTTTACAAATATAATAATGCAACCTTTTATAAACACCTTATATATATGTACTTGCTGCCTCTTGACTATGTTTATTATTTACATACATACATACGCAGTAATTTAATATGTTGTGCAACAAAACGGTTTCATTGAAACTTCAATTTGTTGCAATGTCACCCATTACGTTTTAAATATCTGCTCATCTACACGAACAGTTTATTTCAACGTTGATGTTCAAGATGAGCGAATCAGAAAATGTGCTTAGTGAGATTATCGAACAAATCGCAAAGGAGAACAATATAGTCAAACCGAAAGTGGTGATTTCTGACACAACAAGGGGAGGATACCTTGGAATACCTAGTACAATTATAATTGAAGAAACTGGTAATGGAACTACACGCAAAACACTCCACTTGTTCTTAAAATCTGCTCCGAAGGATTCACGGGAAGCAGTCCCAATTCGGGACATATTCGTTAACGAGATTGCAATGTATGAAGAAGTGCTGCCTAATTACCTTAAGTTTCAAAAAGAAAAATTGGTGACAGACCCATTTCAAAGTACTGTAAAATGCTACAGGAGTTCCGCAATTTACGATAACGAATTTTTGGTATTTGAAGACCTAACAAAGAGCGGTTTCGTTCTTTGGGATAAAACGAAACCAATGACGACGAAATGTGTCGAATTTATTCTCAAAGAAACTGCCAAGTATCACGCTCTTTCCTTTGCTTTTCGAGACCAGAAACCTGATGAGTTTGATGATTTGGCGAAAAAACTTCATGTCAACGTACTTACCAATTTCTTTGAAACCACCCCATCATTTCTACACTCGTTAACAATGAATGTGAAATACGCTATGAACTTATTCGATCCCGTTGAGGATAAAAAAATTTGCGAAGCACTTGACAACTTTATAGAAAATGGAATTGAACCAATCGTTATGGGCCATGCAATTGAAGATAACGACAAGGTCGTCATAATTCATGGAGACAGTTGGTGCAACAATTTTATGTTAAAGTTTGAGGTATGTAAGACAAAATTCCTTCAGATTGATTGATTCAAATCAATAAACGCTTTTGGAACTCTTTCGCGAATGTTNAATTGGTAATTTATTTAAACATAAAAAAGCGCTCGTAAAAGTATTGGAAGATGAATGGTATTTATTAAGCTCTCAGAACTGATAATTATGTATAAAAGTACGTAGAATCTCATGGTACCAACGGTTTTCAAGTGCGTTGCCAAATAGATACTTTCGGGAATATTTTTTTGCAAAATATCTCATATTAAATTCAACATAAAAAAGCGCTCATGAAATTATAGGCAGATGGAAGGTTATTTAATAAGCTCTAAGAACTGAAAATTATATAAAAAAAGTACGTAGAATCTCATAATATCATTGGTTTTCGTGTCCGTTGTTAACTTGGTGCTGTCCGACACTATTTCTGCTAAATTTTGGTGACACTGTACGTTGGGTTGCCTGCAAATGTCACAATATAATAATTTAATTTAAATATAAAAGAGCGCTCGTAAAGCTATTGGGAAATGGAAGGTATTTACTAAACTTTTAGAAATGATAAATATGTAGAAAGGTACGTAGAATTTCATGGTGTCAAGAGTTTTCGAGTGCGATATCAAATTCGTACTATGCGGCATTATTTCTGTTAAAAACTAATAGTTCTTCCCACTGGCGAAAGTATGCCAGGTTCGGTTTTGCAGTGGCGTGCTCGTTAATAAATATGTATTACAATCCAAATCATGCTGTAGCGTTAGATATGACTGAACTTGCTAAAGACAATAAAGATGTAGGCAAACATTTTACATCTGCTGAAGTTCAAAGTAATGAAATATATAGAAAAAGACTTAGAGGAATTGTTACCCATTTTGTTAATAAAGGATTTATATGACTCCATTGATTTTTATTACCCAGTAAAGTAAAATTGTAATAACTTGTATCTCCGTTCTGCACTCTATATTGACAATTTTCTTGCACCCCTTTAAATTTGCTAGTTTTACTTTTAGTTTCAACTGTATTTTGATCTATATCTTCGTCTTGGCTAATTTTGACTTTAATTTGAATTGGTAATTTATTTAAACATAAAAAAGCGCTCGTAAAAGTATTGGAAGATGAATGGTATTTATTAAGCTCTCAGAACTGATAATTATGTATAAAAGTACGTAGAATCTCATGGTGCCAACGGTTTTCAAGTGCGTTGCCAAATAGATACTTTCGGGAGTATTTTTTTGCAAAATACTATATATCATATTAAATTCAACATAAAAAAGCGCTCGTGAAATTATAG